GTGTGGTGACAGTAGTTGAGGATAACTGACTTGCACTGAATAGGACAACGGCCAGCCTATCACAGGTTCATCAATTGTCACCAGCAGGATTCGAACCAGGACCGACTCTGATTGTCATGGTCACACGAATATTACCACTGTATGCCCGAAAGAACGGGGGGTGGAGGTGGCGTACGTTTGCCATTGATAGTATGCTACGGAAGAAATAGGTGCCGAACGTTTGTGTGATACATATGTACCTCAGTCTTCTTTGTCAAAGAATATTTTCCCCGCTTGGTGCATGTAACCCCACCCCACCCCTTCCTACCCCAAATTGAAAATGTTTTGCCCCCCATTCCCAGCTGAAATTGATCCCTACTGGCCGCAATGAGCGAAGTGTTCCAAAGTTCATTAAATGTATATACGATGAAATAGAAATCCTTAATTATCTATAAAGCTTCATCATTCCTTCTATTTATCGTGTTTCTACATTTCCACTTACTTAGTTAGTATACCTTGAAATATAATTTTTTTTCCATTATCTTTGTGAAAATTGTCATTGTGTTCTAATAATTGAGATTTTATTTTGTACGTCTATAAAAAATGCAGTCGCAAACAAAATAAAAATTTAAAATAAACATTGCATGCTTAAAGTTAAATTCTTCAATGCATTCACTACAAATTACTATTATTATACATAAATCACTTCATATTTCTATTGTATTATTTTTGAAAAATAGATAGATTTACTTGTCTTACCACGATTCATATTCCATGTACAATATATGATCCTACAACCGGACGGGACAGAAATATGTATACAGTGCATGATTTATCTCCCATTTTATTAAAAATTCAAGTCTTTAGAATTAAAATTGAAGACATTATCTTTATTTTACATTTAATGTTTTTACAAGTAATATTACTTTTTGCTGTTAAATATTTTTTTTTATTTTTTTTTAAATGAATAATAATATTAAAAAGACCAGGTAAATTGTATTAATTTTACATCATTATGTTTCATTTTTAGTTTAAAATATATAAATTCCCAAGTCCTTCTAGATCACTAGGTGTGTTTAAGAATAGAGCGCGCAATCTAATTTTAGAACATAAATCCCACTGTTACGGTTCGTTGTTTTTTTCGGAGTACTTGAACCCTTTAGGAATTCTGGGTAAGAAGGCAAGAAATTTGATGACGTCTGAAGAAATAAATGTGTATGAGTTATCTCGCATTATTTGTATGCGTGCCTTTGTTAAAAGTTTCTAGAAATGAGAAGAAATATGTTTCTTAATAGCTGATCTTGGGAGCATAACAGCAGACTCGCGGGGGTACTGTAATATTCAGTAGAAAAGAAAGGTTTTAAACTAAAATGCCCCCTCCCACTTCCATCTCCCAAGAAAAATATGTTAAACAAATTTATTTACTTTTTATTTATTTTGATTTATCTAATTTCTTTATATTTTCGGGCAAATCAAAGATTTAAAGGCGGGCCGTCCAGTCCAAAAAATTACCCTGGAATTTCTTGAGAAGCAATAAAAAAAAATTCCCACCTAGTAGAGATCACAAAACACGTAACGAACGAATATCTGTTTTAAACTGTTTTTAACGGTAAACTTAATTGTTGATTACCTGTGTAACTCACGAAACGTACGGACGAATTACACGTATAGAAAAATAAAAATTAACTGTCAATTTGATAAGTTTAATCTCTTTGGTGTTCCAGGTACCAGTATGATATAAAATATATGCATATGTTCACTTTTACTTTATTTAACTTTAATTTCACTGCATGGCTCCAATTTCAAATATTACACAGGATTATTCCAACAAATTATTATCTTTTTAAATTGAAGTTGATTGAATCACCAGCTTGCACTTTTTGTTTAAGTGACATAGAAACAATTGACCACTTGTTTGTAGAATGTTTCAAAGTAAAAGATTTATGGTGTAGGATTGAAGAATGGGTTTTGGAAAAAATTGAGATGCATTGTAGTTTTGATAAAATAGCAATACTTTTTGGTAAATACGAGAACAGGAATATATGTAAATTACAAAACTTGATAATACTTACTGTAAATCATTTTAAAGCTGTAATTTATTTTTGCTTGTAAATATAAAAGTGTTCCAAAAATAAGTATCGATATCCTAATAAAGAGGATTATAGACAGAATTTTTATAGAAAAAAGTTTTGTTATTACAAAGTTGTTAATATATGGAATATGAAAGGCACTGGCAAAAAAATCTATGACGTACTTTGACAAAAAAAAATCATCTATTTTTATGATGAAATGTAATTATACGCTAATTCTAATTAAGGATTTACATTAGTTAATTATAAATATTTGAATACATTTTTCTATTACTAATGACTTCTTTTTCTTAAAAAAAAACTTTCACGGTTACAAGTAAACTTTGTACTGTTGTAAACGAACGAAATTATCAAGAAATTTACCGTGTATATGTATATGTGTTTACTAGTATATGCTTTGCTTATATATATAGTTTGCTTTGTAGACTTACGAAAGCCAATAAAAACAAGATGTGTTTGTGAAACACTGATGCCCCCGTATGGCAACATATCAAAGATTAGACTTTCCTAAAAATGCAAAATTAATTAATTGGTACCAAAAGTGGGGCATTCTCACTGGAGAACAATTGTGAAATTTGGAAATAAGCTAATGTTAAAGTTTTTTTTCAATATAAAGGCCAAAAGGTCAATGTAATTTGGTATCAAATGAAAGGTCTTGCCACATAGAATACTTATGTAGAGCATGAAAGCGCTAGCCCTAAAAGTTCATAAGTTATGGCCAAGGTTCAATTTTTTAAAAAAGTAGGTCAAACTCCAAGGTCAAAGGGTCAAAGTTCTTGTTATCAAATGAAAGGTCTTGTCACAAGAATTAAATATGTAAAGTATGAAAGCACTAGCCCAAACCCATTAAAAATTATGGTGAAGGTTTGCTTATTTGAAGTAGGTCAATCTCAAAGGTCAAGGTCAAAGGGTCAAAGTTCTTGGTATCCAATTAAGGGACTATAACTTTTGAAGATTTATGGCTAGTGCTTTCATACTTAACATATTTAATCCTTGTGACAAGACCTTTCATTTGATAACAAGAACTTTGATCCTTTGACCTTGACCTTGGTGTTTGACCTACTTTTAAAAAAATTAACCTTGGTCAAAACTTGTGAACGGTTAAGGCTAGGGCTTCTATACTCTACTTAAATATTCTATATGGCAAGACTTTTCATTGGATACCATTTACCTTGACCTTGGAGATTTTTGTACTTATTGAAAAAACTTTAACATTGGCCTTGATTACCAAATTCCTTCATTGTTTTCCAGTGAGAATACCCTACTTTTGGTACCAATTAATTAAATTTGCATTAAAGAAAAGTTAAATCTTTGCTTTGTTGCCATACAGGGGCATCAGTGTTTCACAAACACATCTTGCTTACATCAGCTGTAAATCATAGTTAACGCGATAATCTATGTTTAAGAACCGTAAACTATACTTCACATTGAAAGTAATCATTAATATAACATAGATTATCTGATGAATACAGTTTTTCGATTTGTAAACTATCATGGTTTACAACTCTTAACGTTCAAGATCTGATAAATATAGTTTCACGATTTGTGAAACTATGATTAACAACTCTTTACTATAAGTAACGATTGTAAATTATAGTTTACATACGTGAATCTATGTTTATCAACAAAATCTATTGTTAACATTTTATTACAGACAGAAAAACTTAGATTAGCACTCGTAACCATAGTTAACAACCGTTTAATATAATTTTACGGATGAAAACTATAGTTAACGTATTGTTAACTAGAGTTTAAGTTTTGTAAACTATAGTTTACAGTTGATAAATCTAGTTTATCACATGTATAACAAAGGTTAGGTTTTTTTTTAGTGGGTTAAACTCCAAGGTCAAGGTCAGGTTTTTTTTAAGTGGGTTAAACTCCAAGGTCAAGGTCAGGTTTTTTTTAAAGTGGGTTAAACTCCAAGGTCAAGGTCAGGTTTTTGTTGTTTTTTTTAAGTGGGTTAAACTCCAAGGTCAGGTTTTTTTTAAGTGGGTTACACTCCAAGGTCAAAAAAAGTCGAGATTTATTGTATTCAGGGGAATGTCTTGTCAAAAGAGAAACATATGTGAAATATAAAAGACTTAGCACCAACTGTTCAAAAGTTATGGCCCAAGTTTAAGTTTTAAAAAGCATTTTGAACGGCAAGATCAAGGTCAGAATTGTTATTATCAAAAGGAAAGCTTGAACACGAGAAATACACCTTGTTCAAACTTGTTTCACACACACTTTTGTACCGTGGAATGGCTAGGGAGTTAGCTGGTAGTATGCCACTCGGCTTTTTACTGGTTGCTATATCATCTAAACTTTTAATGTAACACATGTAGGGTCAACGCTAAAGTTTTTATAAAGTAACCAAACTTTAAGGTTATGGTCAAAATCTCTACAATATTTATACCATAGGGTATGTTTTGTAAAAATAAATACACTTTTGAAGAATGAAAACCCTAGTGCCGACTATTAAAAAGTTATTGCAAAGGTTTTTATTTTTTTTTTATTTTGGCAGAAGTGGTTCATACTCCAGGGTCAAGAGGTTAAATATGTAGGTACTCAAAGAAGGAATGCATTGTGAGATATGGAAACCATAGCTCCAACTCATCAAAATTTATGGGTAAGGTTATAAAGTTTTTGTGGACAAACAGGCAGAAGGACAGGGCGAAAATTATAGACCCTCAAATATAGGTGTATATAAATATCAAAATCGATTAAAAGGCAACCTTCTTTAAATTTTATTCTTGAATTCTTATCTCTTGAATCAATCTCTGTATAACTCTAAATCAATCAGAATTCAATTTTTTTTAAAAATCATTTTCTTGATTCATTTTCCACAATCTCACTTTTTTTTATTTGCATAACACATAACCGGTGTTCACACATCTGTTTGAAGGAAGCTTTACATTTTCAAGAGCTTGATGCCATACTCGCAGTGCGTAATAATTATTTACTCTAGTCAAGTAAAAGTTCTACATCTCTGTCCTACGATTTAATGACACTCACTTATCTCTATTTGGTCCTCAACACGTTTTTCGTTGTACTTTTTCCATTGAAAAACGATTCATATTTACAATTGCATCTTCAATGCTTCGCTTCTTAGGGATAGAAGGGAGGGGTTTTTTTTAGAAAAGGGCTTTTGTTCACTATCTTTATATCAACACAGATCCTGAAATCTCCACATTGCATATAGGTACGCGTTTTATGCCTTGAACTTTGAACCTAGTTGTCTTGCTCTTTTTGTTAGCAAGTTAGGAAGGTTCACTTGTAGTCGTAACGATCTTCCAATCCGTAAGCATCCGCTGGTAAACTTTCGTCTCCGTTCTCCGTTCGGTGATCTTTATGCTTTTCCTCCAAGTTGTCCATAACTGTCTCGTGGTGTTCATAGAAATCATACGATATCATGGCGATCACAATCACATTCTTCAAGGAAAAAATGGAGACTCCATGATCAAGTCCGTGCCATAAAATCATTCTCATGACCAAAAGTGGAAGGTTGACAATGTAGGCCAGGATAATCTTATATATCATGATTAAACTTTGGGGTAGCTTGGCGTGTTCGAATTTACTATGCAACAGGGTCAGAAGAGGTACGGTTGGTAGGACAAAGTTTAGACAGGCTTCTACGAGACCCGTCAGGAAAGCTTCACGGTCTTCTTTGATGAACAATGGTACCATGTTATCCACGCAATCCAAAATTTCGAACATAACAGTTCCTGATAGTTCTTCTATGTATGTTCTTCTGTCCGACCCTGGCTTAGCGTCATGAAGTGAAGAGATATGTAAAAGGATTTTTACTCTTACACTCCAACATTTAATTTGCTGATATGATAGAACAAATAACAAAGTAAAGGGGGATGACACCAGCTGCGTTGAAGCCCAACCAGGTACTGTCTTTATGTTCCACCAGTAATCAACATTACTGAAGTGGAGGATGATGACCATAACACAAATCACACGGGAATTTGTTTTAATACCAGCAGCACTTGATGAAGCAGTTCGCCATGTTTTCTTCTGAAGGGCCCCAGTTTTTGCATTATAGGAGAAAATGTTAATTCACACTTTTTAATTGCTAATAGAATACTCATAATTAACATTACAAAAGTGATATGAAAGAAAATAAAAAATGTCAATTAATTCACAATTTAGAAATATTGATTGCACATAAGTCCTTCCTTGAATTTTTAAAAATGTTTACCTTTTAAACAAGATTCCCAGTAAGGAATCAGTTGACACCTTAAATTATGTGTTACTCATTTTAATCGCCGAAAGAATGAGAGATAAGAAGACAAACATTATAATTTTCCGGAAGCTCATGTAGAAATGAAAGCGCAAAACAGCTTTTGAAAGACAGATCGACATGTCACAGGTGGTGAAAAAGCATGTCTAAATACGACCTCGAACATAGGCTTTTGCCGTACAATGTCATCGCTCTAACGACTGAGCTGATATATTGGCTAACTTTCACGCACCTGTGAGCCCGCTGACATACATTGATTTTTCCTCAAAATAATTGGATTTGGATATTTTTATGCCCCCCCTTCGAAGAAGGAATGACATATTGCTTTTTTGTTTTGTAATTTATATAGTGACTAAAACCCAGTACATTAAAAACAATAGGCCCAAATGGCTTTGAATCGTTCTTCTGTTAAATTGTATAATCCATTACTTCTAGTTGAAGCCCCTAAATAACTTGTATATTTAAAGAAAGTTTTGAAATTCCAAAAGTAGGTCATGACCTACATTCTGTGAAAACACTCTGAGAGTCCAGGATTATCAACTGACAAAGTATGATGATTCTAAGCCCCTTATTATCTGAAATATTAAAATACGGTAGAACCATCTGATTTGAAAAGTAGGTCACAGTGACCTACTCTTTAATAAACATACTCTGAGATCCAAATGCCTCAAATGACCAAGTTTTCTTATTTGAAGACTCTAATTATTTGAGGTATTTTAATTATACCTTGAAATTCCAAAAGTAGGTCAACATAAAACCTACTTTTATTTAACACATCCTGAGGACACAAGATGCATCAACTGAAAGAATTTGATGATTTTAAGCTTACATGTATAAGCACTCGAATTATTTAAAGTTTTCCAAAAAAAATCAAAAATAGGTCACTGTGGACTACATATCAGTTGACGTTCTCCGAAGACCCAGGATGCATCAATTGACAAAGTTTGATTATTCTAAACTTTTAATTCAATACCTGAGATATAACCATAAAATTTCTAAAGTAGGTCACCATGACCTTAAAAGTATTTTAATATCTTAAATAATGGCCTTGAATGTTTCAAAAAGATAAGCTCAAGACCACGCCTTTTCCCCCAGAGTGATGCCTTGAACAATTTTAAATCTTTAACATATCCTCATCCTTCTAAGTAAGTTCAGTGATAATCTGTCTGCTGATTTATGAGAAGAAGATCTTTGGCAACCAGTACTTTTGGTTTTATTTTTCTGATTATCTCCACGTGTTTAAGAGTCACAACCCTAGCTTTAGTATAAATGGTAGGCTAAAGCCCTTTGGCCAAAGATTCCCTGTGAATAATATGACAATGATTGGCCAAGGGGTTCTAGTTGTGCCCAAATTCTAAAAAGTTTATGTACACCGCACAAATGGTCATAGCATTAGCTATATGAGCCTTTGGCTCCGAAGAGCTACAAATTACTATATAAATGCAGCATGTAGCTTAGGATAACATTGAAAAATTTCACCCCAAGAAAACCATTGTCAATCGAGGCGCAGCCGAGTTTGACAATAGTTCTCGAGGGGTAAAAATTTTCAATGTTACCCTTTACTACATTCTGTATTTTTTTATTTTATTATAATATGGAATGTTTTATTCAAATAAATATAACACTGAGTCGGGTACATTTTTTTTTAGAATAGCACCTGTCGTCAAGCAATGTTGACTGCTGTAAAGCTGGAGGCGTGGTTTCACCATCCAGAGGGTAATAGCATTTTAGCAAATGTTTCTTGACTAATCAGATTCAACTAATTTACATGCAATATGAGTATAGTTTCCTTAGTCCACTTCGGATTCATCGGCATTGAACTACTTACGAGTGTGACTTTATGTTCCTACATACATGTGCAGATTAAATTAGAAGATCAACAATTTCTTCAATATTCAGACACTTTCAAGCCCATATATTCAATTCTCCTCACAGATTATATGGTACTTTGAAGCATATTAAAATGACTATCAATTTTGATACATAAAGATAAAACTAACGATATCATGGTATAAACTCTTCCAACTGATGCGGTTTTAAAGCTGTTGATAAAAAAGTCCTTTTTGCAAGAAATCATAGCATTATAAATTAGAAATGTAAATTTAATTGTGATATGCAAAATCACTATTCTTTAAACATGTATTTTGAGAACTGGAATGTTTGATTTGTATTAAAATGAATATAGATAACATAAGAAAACACATAAAAATAAACATAATAAATAAAAGCAGTAAAAACAAAGAATTTCAAGTAAGAAAAAAAACACGGAAGTTATAACAGAAAATATAGATTCTGAAGTTAATAACAAAGAGTGTATATAAACAATATGGCACAATTCCCTCTCTTCCTGGATTACGGATCACAGCATCTTCATGCGTCCGTGTTTTAGTCAAAACATCTAATCTCCGATGATGCCTTGTTCTGCTAAATAAAAGAAATCAAAGATGGATAATGAGTGACAGGTTATATATTTACATGTTTACAAATTTACAATCTTTAGCTAATGACAGTGTAATTACATGTACCTTCTATTTCAAGTAAGAATCTTGCCAATTTCAACACCGTCGGACATTCTTCTATAAAAATCAAGATGACGAAATGTACTAACGGTATATCTACATAGAAAACAATTAAATTCCCTGCACATGTATATATACATTTTCGATAAATCGATTGACCTTAAGCACAATTTAGTTATAAACTTTATTATTTTGTGATACAGAATATATGTATGATGAAATCGCAGGGTTTCTAATTCAGCGAATACAGCGAATTTTACCTCCTCAACCTAATTTCCTGCAGTAAAATAACTTTCATGCTAATAATTCTTTGTACTCACCGCCATGACGTCTTCGATACTCGGACAACGCCCACATTCTCTCCATTTCTGTGTGACGTTCTATGATGGATCGGACTCTGTCTCCTACGTCACTCCAACCTAAAACATAGAAGGAAGGGTTTTCTTTGATGTTTTTTTTCACACAAGGAATGATTTGTTTGTATGGAAAGATAATCAAATCCATTGGGAAGTAAACTCAGAAACACGAATGGAAAGGAGCGATGCATTTTCCAATGTATACATGTACATGCATGGTGTCTCATAGAAGATATATACATTTTCATTGAATTTGTATTCCCGTGGGTTTTGATACGGATAGTTCAGATCATGGTTAGTGTTTACGGTAGATTGTTATTTGGAACTTTAATATAATACCTAATTTTTACGAACTTTGGTTATGGAGAGAACGATCATAGGCATTTATGCCTGCTGTTCAATCCATTTCTTTATATGAATAAAATATATTTTAAACTAACCTTGGTAATTGTTCTATAAAATTTATAGTACTACAAATATAAGCCAAAATGAAATTTATGCGAGTAAACAGTCTCTTGTAATTGCGCAAATATAAATTTCTCGCGATTAAAAAGCAATTTACAGTACATATATTAAATAAGTTTAATACCTAGCATCTCTTCGTGTACATTTCTAAAAGGTCTTGTACTCTCACGTCTGGAATGTCTTTCCAATCTGGCATCTGCAAAAACGTGAAGACATACAGTCTATATGTACACAATTAGTTTTCTTTCCTTGCAGGTTGTACTGATTGTACTGGAGAAATTTTAGACACCAGTTCACCGGCATCTTACTTTACGTGTTTGTTTAATTTAAAATTACTGTTATTTACAGCGTTACAAGTCTTTCTAACCTGTAATATTAAAGATGACTATTTTTTATTAGACTTCAAAGAGGTTGATATACATATATCTTTCATCTTGCAAAATATCTCTCTCATCGAAGGGATATTATTTTTTAAAATACATGTTATCCTCTATCAAGTATAAGATGGTCGACTATGCCGGTTTGTCAGAGGTTTGTATTTTTTATTTAACCAAACAATTAAAAATTCCTACCTGTTCTATTTTCTTGGTAAATGCGCGTGAAAGGCCTTGTATTCCCGAGTCTGACAGCTGTACTCAATTCTGCAAATATATTTTATTAAAAAACATTGATATATATTGTTTAACGTCCCTCTCCAGAATTTTTCAATCATATGGAGACGTCACCACTTGCCGGTGGAGAGCTGCAAGTTTTTGTCTCTTGACCATTGAGCAGAGGGGGATTTTTTTTGTGCCAGCACCTCCTGCGACACGGGACCTCGCAGACCTCGGTCTCATCCGAAGGACAGGTATCCATGTCCCACAGTGGGATTCGAACCCGCGAGCCATACTGGTTGCTCATTCGGTAGAGCGCTCGCTAATTGATCGGAAGGTCGTGTGTTGCAAGCACGGCTACGACTGACCTTAGTCGAGAAAAATAGGTAGCGACTGTTCCTTCGCCAAGAACTCACATTTTGAAGGTATCCAAGGGTAAGAGTTGCATATGTAGGGGCCATTTTGCGATGTGGCACTTGTTCTGTTTTAAGAGAAGGAACGTCTTTTTATTTCAAAGGAAAAGATTTCTTTATTAATTCTGACATGACATGTGAGTCTAAAAATTTAATATATGTTATTACTTGCGGAGGATGCAACCAATTCTACATCGGTGAAACGGGGACCACATTGATATATATATATATATATATATATATATATATATATATATATATATATATATATATATATATATATATATATATATATATATATATATATAGAGGACCTTTCATGAGTCAGACTGCCCATCTGAATTTGACAAATGAACTTC